ATTTGTTTTCTAATTCTATCCCTGTAGAGAAATTTAAATTACGTTTCTATACCAAGCTGCACTTATTCTACCATCTCTTATATCCATTGCCACAAATGCAATAGGGTACATTGATGACCTCTGTGTCATGTTTTACTTTGGAATTTCATTTCTAGAACACTAAAGCACTGCTAAGTTAGGAATATATCTATATAAACTATTAATGCTTAGGTCATCCAAAACTTTGTATACAATAACTCTTACTTAAAAAAATAAATAAATAAAATAAAATCCCATCTTCTCAAAAAACACATTCCTAACCTCCAGCCAGTGATTTATGAATCCCTCTCCTGAATTTAAAGCACTAATTATTGGTATACAAGTCATGTATCACATGGAATCATAGATTCATAGAATTCAACAGTTTAGGATAGCAAGCTTTTTTTTTTAAAGATTTATTTATTTTTATACAAGAGCTGGGGTATAGGCCAGAGGCGTGGGAGGGTGAGAAGATTCACCAGAGACAGAATGGGGAACAGAACAGGCAGACTGACAAAATACACTGCTGAGGGGAGCAGCGGGCAAGACAGGAGAGGACTGCCACAGCCATGTGGGAATCTCCCTGGCCAGCCGGGAATCGAACCTACGCTGCGGACAGCTTCACAGTGCTGCGCTAAACCTGCTGCACCAACCGGGGAGGCCCCAGCAAGCTTTATGTTGGAAATAATCTAATTTACTGACACAAATTTCTTGGTTTTATTATTTATTTTTGTGAATACCATTGTTAGTGAGAGGTAGTTGCCTTCTGCATTATCTTCCACCATGCTTGGACTATTTGTGTGTTTAGAAATTTTTCTTATGTTTAGCAAGAATTCATATTCTTGTGATTTTCAAGGCTAATGTTGTTCCTAAGCATAAAAAATCAACCCATTTATTCTTCTAGTGATAGTCCTTCAAAGATTGCTTTCTTGCTCAAATTCTTTCAGTTTTTGCTTTTATGCTATGGTTTCCAGCCCCCATCATTCTGATATACTCTCCTGTAAACTCTTTGTAGTTTATCACTATCCTTAAAATTACTTTTGTTACCAGTAATTTTATGTTTTTAAGTACGCTATTCAAATGTCATAAGATAGTAGCAAAAAACTTAAAATTTCTATAATTCAAAGGCTATTCTTTTTTTTTAGCATATTTGATAATAAATTTTATTTTTATATTCCCCATACAGTTGCAACCCCCCCTTTCTGATCCCAATCCCTCCCCTCCCGCCCCCACCCCCCAAAAGTGTCTCTGTTTCATAGTTTTTTGTTGATTCTGATTTTCACTTTCTTATAGTTATTCATTTTCCTGGTCCCTTATTTAAGTTTTCTAGATTCCTGCTATGAGTGAGACCATCCGGTATTTTTCTTTTTCTTTTTGGCTTATTTCGCTGAGCATGATCCCTTCCAGCGGCATCCATGTTGCTGCAAATTGCATGTGCTTATCTTTTTTGAATGCTGAGTAATATTCCATGGTGTATATGTACCACATCTTCTTGATCCAGTCATCTATTTTTGGGCATTTGGGTTGTTTCCAAAGCTTAGCTATTGTAAACAGTGCTGCTATAAACATAGGGGTGCAGGTGTTCTTTGGAATTGATGTTTCTGTGTCAAAGGCTATTCTTTCTAACAATAAATTTGTGAGAATTCTTTACATCTTTACGTTCTCACATTTGAAAAGTTAGTTTTGATTAAGTAATAGATACCTTTTTCTGGCAGCTGTCAACGGTTGTTGGGGGATTGCTGAGATCACATAACCAGTTTTACTCCTTATAGCTTAAAATTACCTGACTTGCTGTCACCACTTGCTGTTTGAAATTCAACAGCATTTAAACAAATAAGTAACAGAATACTATGCTTGCATTGGTCTTATAACTATTATCTGCTACAGAACCCAATCCCAATGTTTAAAAAAACAAACATCTTTCCTTGGTTCAACAAAATGTTTTAACGTGCTTGGGACTAGCCTCTGATAAGGAAATCAGACTTCATCTAACAATCATCGATTTGAATAGTCGTTACAAACATTACTAAACTGCTGATGATAGTGTCCTTTGTTCACAAGCAAGAACTGTCCTTTCCAGACCTTTATATATAATTTATCCTTTGTTCCAAGAATATTGTAAATAAATTGTAAAGTTGCTGACAAATAGTTAAGTTTCAAAAAAAACCGCATTAAATGCTGCAGAAGGAAAAAACAGGCAATAAAATAGAATTATTGAGAAATCAAATAGAAGAGGTGAGGAGTCTGGAGCCCCTCTTGTTCTGAAGTGGTTTTACTCTCTGGCACACAGCTAAGATCATTAAGTATTTGTTAAGTGAATGAAAACGTGGAAGCCTTAGGGATATTTCCATAGCAGGACAATTATAAGCATTGCAGCTATCTTAGCAGACTATCTGGTAACTTATTTTCCATTTTGATTTTGATTTGTTTCTGTATTTTCAATTCAGTTTTTTTTTTTTTGAGAACTCACTATGAGTTTTGTAGTTAATATGGAGCACTATAGTTATTAAAAATACTATTTTTCTGATATGGTATAACTTAGTCTGTTATAACCCTAATTTATGTACTATGAATTATTTCCCCTCCTTTCCTCTCTCCCTCTCTCTTTCAAAATTCACTTGGACTACTTAGGTGATACTACATTAAAGTGGCCCATAAATGAGCTAATGGTCCTGGGCAGAGCCAGTCAGGACAACATGTCCATGCAACAAAATGAACAAAAGAACCTTTGGAATGCACCTGGTTGTTCAAGACTAGCAGGTGGTTTAAAAAAAAGAGGACTCTTAAGGAACTGACTTCTCTTTAAGGATTTTGTTGCTATTAATTTTCCTACAAAAACGACCCAGATTCCTTCTTGACCTTTACTCTGAGAGCAGAGGAAGTATTGCTCTGATATTGGCTCAGTAACTGGTACCTGCAGGCAGCTGCTTATCTGAATAGTATCTCGTGAATATAGTTCTTCCTGCATTGCTTGCACAGTTGGACCTATTCCATCCCTAGGTTACAATATGTTCTTCACATAAGCGTTCAAGACAAAAGGCATTCCAGGGGCAATTTTGTTATATATAAATATATAATCCAGTGCATTAAAATATAACCCAAACTTTATGTATATGTTATGCTTGCAAATTTCATACTCTCCAAAGCAAAAATACTATTTTGTAATTATTTTTGGAAGATCTGTCACCAACAAATAACTATGTGAGACAACTCAGAACAACTTTGTAATTCTCTTCAAAAAGGAGGTAGGCGTTATATTCATGGTCCAGTTTCCCATCAGTGAAAGCCCTGAAATTACCTAAGTTTACTTTTTATAAGGACATGCATCATATCAATCAAAGTGGTCTGTAATTCCCAACTTACTTGTGGTTAAATAAAAAAATTCAAAAGTTGTTTTGAGATCAATTTAAAATCTGAAATGTATTGATGTATAATTTTACAAGCAATTATTCAGAGTCCATTATCTGCTGCACATTTTCTAAGGCACTGAATACAAAACTTAATACGGTATAAATCCCCCTGCTTGGGAGCTCGAGTTTTAGTGAAGGGTTAGGGTTACTTTTGTCTTTTCATGTAAAGTTATATGTTTCATAGAAAGTCAGTATAATATAGAACCTAAAGGGGGAAAAGGGAAGCATTAGTTGAAGACTTAAGAAGTAGGTTTCTCTGGGATGCCCTAGGATGTGGCTGTTGAGTTAACATTTCAGAATTATCTCTTTAAATCCATACTGTTGCCACTGCAATGAAAGCAGGGAAACTTGTCAGCAGATGGTTAGGTTTTATGGTCTATGTCCATGCTTTTGTAGCTTGGGATCAAGATCAAGTTTCTGGGTAAAGCATTCTCTCTCCCCACCCTCCTCTCCCATGAAGTCAGGTTCTCAGACTGTTGGTGATAGGTGTGTTCTCGGAATAAAGGGGTATCAGAATCACCCCTTTTCATATCCCCCTTATCAGTCTGAGGGGAGTTTATTCAGTGTTTCGGTTTTTGCCTCCCAGATTAAGAAGCGTCTGGACGGCTGGTTTATTTTAGGTTCCACGAGGGCACGGCACCGGCTCCTTTTTCGATTTCCTGATTCGTGACCAGTCAGCGCGGTCACGTCTAGTTGCGTTGCACACGCTTTGCACGCGGTTTGCACGCCTCTGGCGGACGCGTGCAGGGCCCTGGATTCCGGGTGGCAGGGCGCGCGGAGGTGAGCACCACTCACCTCCGCCGGGCAGAGGGGCAGCGGGGAGGGTCGGTTACCGCCTGCAAAGGGCTGGCGGGAGTCGCGGGACTCCCAGCGGGGCTGTCATAAATGACCTTTAAAAGGGCACAAAAACCCAAACCTCTGCCGGCTCCAGGTGGTTCAATACCAACCCAGGACAGCTTCGCGTTCCCGGCTTCAGACCAAACTTAGGGAGCCACGAGACACAGCCGTGCAGCCGGGGCGCTGGGCACTTAACCCTAACCCTCCCCGGTCACCTCGGGACAGACCCCGGGCGCACGTAAGCGAATTCTGCAAAAACCTTGTTCCACTCTACTTTTCCCCGCGAAATGTGGCCTCCCCAGAACTTGAGGGTCCCGGGCACGCGCGCCGTCCAGCTTTCTCCCCGCGGCCACCAACCTTTCGGCTCGCCCCGCCCCTGGCTCCGCCCCCGGCCCCGCCCCTCCCACCGGGGGCGTTTGTTTACGTGACGTCACCGTAGTAAGCAGGCCCCGCCCCCGCCTCCCTCCGGCCGCCGCGTTTCCCGCTCCGCGGCGCTTCTCCCCTTAAAAGGACAATAGAGGCTCCGGGAGCGAGCGCGGCCGCGGGGCCTTCCCCCGCCCCGCCCCCAGCGCGCGCGCGCCCGTATGCAAACGAGCTCGATTCAGGAGAATGTGGTACCGGGAGGCGCGCGTGCGCAGAGCGAGAGCGGCGGCTACACCTTCCCCGCCGCGGTGGCAACTGCAGAAGTGCGGGGGACCGTGTTCCAGGCGCGGAGGGCGGCGGCGGAGCGGGCGCGGGGGCGGCCTGGCGTGCAGTCGGCGGCTCGGGGAGCGCAGCGCGCGTGGAGCCGCGGCCTCTGGAAGGTGGGTGGCCCGCGGGCTCCGGCGCGGCGAGGCGGGTGCGGCGCGTCCGCCGTCTCCTCACACGCGCTCTCGAAGTTTGGCGGCGGCCTGGCCGGAGCGGGGGGCGGCGCGGGCCTCGGCGGGCGGTCGGCCGGCGGGGCCGGAAGAAAGTCGGCCGGGGGCGAGCTGCGCCGGCAACGGCCGCGCTGCGCGCGGCGGCGCTGAGGTGACAATGGTCCCGGGGCGGTGGGCCCGGCTGGCCGCGTGGGGCCGCGCCGGGCGGACAATGAGCGGCGCGCCCGCCCGCCGCCCGAGCGCGGTCCGCCGGGCGGCGCGGGGCGCCCGCGGGGGCGCGTGCGGGGCGCGGGGCCTCGGCCCCCTTCTTTTTGTGCGCGGCGTGACAGGCCACGTGCTCGGCGGCCGCGGGGCCCGCGGGGCGGCGGCGGGCCCCCGGCCGGGCGGGTGCGGGCGGCGGCGGCCGGGCCCCGGCGCGGCCCCTGACGGAAGCCCCCGACGGCCGCCGCAGCGCGGGGGCAGCGCCGCGGGCGGGAGACAAAGGGCCGCGTGTGCGGGCGGCGGGCGGCGCGGGGCTTTGTCCCGCCGCGCCGGGAACTTCGGGGGGCCGCGCGGGGCCCCGGGCCGCCGCGGGCGGCGGGCTGTTGCCATGTTTGAATTACGTCAGGCCGGGCGGAGGGGCCGCGCGGCCGACGGCGTTTCTCGCAGGTGAGGAGGCCGGAGCGCCCCGCGGGGCGCCCCAACTTTCCTCGCGGCCGAGCGGTCGGGGCGCCGGTCGGCCCGCGCGCGGGGGGCGGGGAGGCGTCCTGCCGCCTCCGGGGCCGCCGTGGGGGGCGGCGAGCCCCCGGCCCGCACCCCGCCCCGCCCGACCACCCCGAAAGCCCGCGCGGGGCTGGAGCTCCCGACCGGACGGCGCGCGCCGCCGCTTCTTTGTGTGTGTGGCGTGGAGGGGCCGGGCGGGGCAGGGCTGTTTGGGTCCGGGTGCTTTCCCGGGGCGGCGCGGCGCGGCGCGCGGTCGGTCCCGGTGGCGGGGACCCGCGCCGCCCGCTTTGTGTTTATTTCCTCTCAGCCCCGGCGACGCGGGCGCTCGGGAGACGGGGCGGCAGCGCCGCGGGCCACGCAGGGCCCCCCGCTATCCGCTCCGCGGCTCGGGGAGAACTTCTGCCCCCTTCTCCTTTCCACGATAAAAAGAGATGCATTTGACCTTGCTCTTAAAAGTACACCGAAAGCACCTGTTTTTGAACGGTAGTTTGCCAGACTTGAAAAGCCTTACGGTTTGTTTCAAAACCGAGCACGTTTATTAGTTGCTCCAGCTAGAGTAAGTTGAAGCCCGGAGTTTGTTTCTGGAGGAGTTTAGCAAAACCTGACGCGATCTCACGTATCTATATAGTGGTTTGGTGGGGGGTCAGGGGCGCTTCTTTCTTGGTGTCCTTAAGGCTTGCCTGGCTCTACGTTTGGTGATTGTTCTCTGCTTTATCTTAGGATGACCTTGAAGAAGCAGCTCGAAGGGAGTTGGGCCTTTCTGGGAGATTCTGTGTGGGGGCTGGGGAGGAAGCGGCTGGGGGGTGTGACACCGGGTAGTGGCTAGCCCAGCCGCCTCGCTGCTTCCTAGTTCCTGTGCGCTGGGGTTGACCTTCTGCTTACCCCTCCTAAGATTTTCTTTTTCAAGCGAACTTATTTATTTATTTATTTTTTTGGTATTTGGCCCCAGGCATAGCTCAAAAATTATGCTAGTTTGACACATGGATGCTTCTTTGGTATTTCGGGTTTGCCTGCAGTCTAGACATCCGGATAAGCAGCGCCATGTCTGTTGCTTCTTGCCCGATTTTCCTGGCATTTGGATCGTGTTTAAGGGATAGAATGTGAAAGCGTCTTTACCGAAAAGTATCTGTAGATGCCGGGTCCACAAATGCCGCGAAAAATCCATACAAATTGAAATCAGTTCTGTGCTTTATTTTATTAAATAAACTCATCTCTCCCGAGTTTGTGGCTGACCATATTACAAGTACCTAAAGGCAATCAATATTAATAACAATACATTTCTGAAGTGAATAGGGACACGCCAAGAAAATGAAAATTTTTGGATTTAGTAGCTTTATGGCTTTACTTAGGCAGTTAATTTTCAGAGTCGTGTATTTGAAATGCATATGAGGTACTTGCAAATGCACTGTCTTTGATTTGTTTTTATTAGTATTTTATAGCTGAGTTTCAGCTACAATTTCAATATTGTGGGAAATTACAAATGCAACACAGAGTTTAATGGTTTCTGTTTTAAATATTAGATGATATGTGCAATGGACATTTGGCTCATCAAGGTGAATGAGTCGAATGTCTGAGACAGACAAGGTCTCTGCTGTATCTTTTCTTACATTACTTAAAGTGGGAGGTTGGGGGTAAAAAGTTGGATAGGATGTTCTAGAACCTTGGTGGACAGAGGTCTCAGGGCCTCTGTTGCACGATATTCTGTAGATCTGGAACCTGGATGGTCAATTTTTTCCCATTTACAATCATTTTCATCGAGAAAGCTTAAGCTTATTTGAAATGTAAATCAATTTTGTAAGACTGTTAGCACCAAGTTTTTTACAATGCCGTGCACATAGTAGGTTGCTTTAAAAGTAGGACATTTTGTTTTTCCCTTAAGAACTGCTGGGAGGAAAGGATGAGAAACACATATTAGTTTAGTTGTTTAGAGGTCTCGGCCTAGATTCCAAACCCCCGATCATGCAGTTTTCTCATTTGTGAAATAGTATTAATACCTAGTTCATAGGATTGTAAATAATTGAGGAAGTAATGTGTGTGGTAAATATTGGCTGTTGTTGTCCTGACAACTTTGGGAAGTAGACTTAAACAAAAGACAAAACTCAGACCTGGATCAGTGACCTGCCCTAGGAAACATTCACTTTACTTTTGAGTAGAAGGAATGTCTTGGCCCCCCCCTCCCCCACCTTCAGAAACTGGTTCTGGGAAAACACTGCCCTCCAGTTCTGATTCAGCTATTTTACATCAAAAAGTCCTGTGGAAATCTGGAAAATGCCATTTTCTTTCTTCTGATTTCTCTTGCCCACAAGGGTGTCTGGGATTTCCCACACTTGTTTTGGCTGGGGGGGGGGGGTTGTTGTGTTTTGAAAATATTTTGTATCTTAGATCTTCAGTTTCTCTATAATTGAATCTGCTTTTAAGGTTTTCTGTTATGGAAATGCTTCTAGTCTAAAAGAAGGGAGTTTGTTTTCTGGGAGGGAGGTTTTCTTTTACTTCCAGAAATACAGAAGTCTTGAGCACATTTGCTATTATATATTCATGCACAAAAGTTGCAACAGAACTAAAGTAATTTGCTCTCCCAGCTTTGTATTTGTTGTTTCTACCTATTATAGGTTTGACGTGGCCTGATGTCATTTTAGTTTGATAAATGTTAATGTATGCTGAGTTTAAGTAGCTCTCATTTTGAGATGATTTCTGCCCATACCATGCTCCTAATCTCCCTCTTCCCCTACCCATGCGTGCTTGAAGTAAGACCTTTTTTATACCCGTTATTATGAAAGCCTTTGTTTACTAGTGATCTTCTCTATTAAAGAAATAATTCGGTTTCCATTTCCTAGAAATTTTAATGTCACAGTTGTTTTCTGCAAGTCTATAAACTAAATTTTAAGGGAAATGATGCCTTTCAAGGAATTAGTTTTTAAATTCATATATTTATTGTGGAGACCATTTCCCATTCCGTGCCCTTAAATAAACTATTTTGGTGGGTAGTTAGCCGATTCTCCCTTTTCTGTGTGTTCTGTACAGTCAGCATCTGATGGTCACGTAAGACTTAGCCCTTGCCCTGTACAAGGTTATCATAGAGTAGAGGGGATGATAAACAAGTTTGTGAAGTCCTCCTGTGTGCTAAGTGTTCCAGTAAAGGTATGGAAAGGTGTTTTAGAAGTAATTCTTTTTTTTTTTTTTAATATTTATTTATTTATTTATACAAGCACTGGGTACAGTCAGAAGCGCGGGAGGGTGAGAGAATTCACCAGAGCCAGAGCGGGGAGCAGAGCAGGCAGAAGGACCGAAGTACACTGCTGAGGGGAGCAGCGGGCGGCAGGAGAGGTCTGCGCGCCATGTGGCACCCTCCTCTGGTGGCGGGGAGCAGCCGGGGATCAAACCGGTGCTGTAGAGGCTGTGGGCAGCGTTGCAACCCAGCGCTCAACTGCTGCGCCACTGGGGAGGCCCATAGAAGTAATTCTTAAGGAATTTTCCGGGTCAGAGTGCTGGAGGGGAAACTATCTCAGATAGAAATAAAACCCTATGAGAGACTTAGCTAGCTAGTCAAGTTGGTACCACTTGACTACCAGAATTCCAGATTTGGAACAGCTGGTAGGCAGGCACAGCTCCTGAAAAGCTTAGCATTTCTTGCCAGACTGTCCAGATAGTATACTGAAGCCAGTACTGTACCTTGCAAGGGATGATGAATATTTGAACGTCAGAAAGACAGCACCTGTTTGGAGGATGCAGGAAAGTCAGTTATGAGACTGACTGGCAGGGACAAGCACTGGGGAGGGGCGAGCATGAGCCAGAGGAGTGAAGGAAGACAGGACATGGCAGGGCCTTGCAGAGGGTGTGAGAAGGAAGAGCTCAGTTAACTTCCAGGTTTTTTTATGTGACTGCATGGATGATAACCAACATGGGTGAACACAGGAAGAACATGTTTGCAGAGGTATTATATAGTCTACTTTTAGTGCATTTCTTCCAGTCCTGGGGGGTGTTATATAGTTATTCAGGAGATTGCATTGTAGATGAGGTAATGGAAGGGACAGAGAGAGCTTAAGGAACTTTCCTGAGGTTTGGGTCAGACCAGTTGTATGCTAGCTAGCATTACCCCTTCATGAATGTTTTTGGTCATACATGAGAAATGGGAGAATAGTCCCACAGAAAGTAATATGGTCCAGTTTTATCACCTCCCTGAAAGGACTTCCTCTTTCCCCACACACCTAGACTTAACTTTCCAGAAATGATTTTTACCCGTTGTT